TTCAACCACATCAACGTGGAGCTGTCCCTCCTGGGGAAGAAGCACAAGAAGGTGAGTTCCGCGCGGCCCGGAGGCGGAGGGGAGCTTTACAGCTGGCTTAAAAACCTAATGGTGGTGCGGGAGAGTGACGGAAAATATTCAGCTGCAGGCATGCTGCTTGCTTGGTGTTGCTCATTTCTGTGTTTTCTGAAAGAGGTTGGTCTGATGGAGCCACGGGACCTACTCGGGCACTGTGGGAGTGTTGACGTTCCCTCATATTGGCCTGAATGTGTTGATGGCCTTTCATTGTATTTACAGTCAAGTGCAGCGAAAGGGATTGAGGGATACATGCTGTGTTACAGACTGGCTCGTTCTAGCTGGGTAAAACTAAATTAGTTCGTTTCATTTCCAGAAACCACAAGAACATCAGAAGAGCAGGTGTTCTCTAAATACATGCAGGATATTTTTATATGGTCTTAAGAAGTGTAAAAAAGGCCAAGAGTGGCTGATTGCAGATACTTGTTCTTAAAACGCTGAACCCACACACAGTGTTTCATTTAAGTTGATGCTGCGGAGGAGACTGACTTTGTAACAGCGTGTTTAGCATTTGATAATACACTCTTCAGCTTAAGATTTCAGATTTGTCTACCCCAGCTCTTTTGAGGATTTGTTAGTAGCAAGACATGAACAAAATAAAGGTTTCTCACGTATCTGGGGGTTGGGACTTTAAAGGCCCACCTGGCCTTTAATCGTCTGTCAGAGAAACAGAGTAGTTCTGTGCTTTTAAGTAGTTTATCTGAATGTTTTGCTCCTCGTTTGTCACAGAAATACTTCGTTGTTAGTTTTGAAGTGTAGCTGAAAGCTTTGTTGATGTGTTTTTTAACCCAGCTGCGAGTTGACAAGTGGTGGGGTAACAGAAAGGAGCTGGCAACAGTCCGCACCATCTGCAGCCATGTACAGAACATGATCAAGGGGGTCACTCTGGTGAGTTTTACTTGGAAGCAGGATAACTGCTGCCATTTTTGTTACCTGCAGCGATAGCCTTTTACTTTTGGGGGAGTGTATCTAAGTATCCAAGATGTAGCTTCTCTTCCTTTTACTGTTTTCTTGTACTTGCTGTCAGGTTTTGCAGGTGGAAGAAAGCACAGATGTCTCTTGGGCTCAGTGTCCTGCCCTTTTAAGAAACTATTTTTGATACATCTTGGGTTTAGATTTCTCCAGTAAACTAAATGCACGCGTTCTGCCTTTTGGACGTGTTCTGCTCTCAGTATCTGATTGTGTCCTCTTTCACAGGGCTTTCGTTACAAGATGAGGTCGGTGTATGCTCACTTCCCAATCAACGTGGTCATACAGGATAACGGCTCACTTGTGGAGATCCGAAACTTCCTGGGAGAGAAGTACATCCGCAGAGTGCGGATGAGGCCAGGTGAGCAGGTCTGGATGTGTCCTGTGCCAGTCTAACTGGGCTTTTCAAGCTGTTTTCTTTGGGCACTGCCACAGAGAACAGGAGATGCTGAATAATTGTTGGAGCAGCATTTGCTTGCCTGAATTTATGTAATTTTCTTATGATTCCTTTGCCGCTCTTCAGCTTTATTATTAATAAGAGTTTTGTTGCTTATTTTTAGTATTGAGAGCTAGCTAGTAACTAGTTTAGAGTTAGTTACTGCAATATGAGGAGTCCAGGATGGACTTTTGTCATTGTGAGATCTTGGCAGTGCTTACAGTTGGTAAACTATAAGTGCTTGATTTTAGACTTGTTTCTGTTTTAAACATTGTACATAAACTAATTCCATATCATAGTTTTGGTCTTTGAGGTGGTGTATTTCAAATTTCCTGATTATGCAGGAGCAGGCATGATACATTTAGAAATGCCCATCTTTCCTGCTGGTTTTACATCTTGTAAACATGCAGTTTCAGCAAAATGTCTAACAGAAGAGTAGGCACTTGATGGAGCTTGTTAAACTTCTGAAGGGAGGAGACAAAACATTTCATAAACAGAGGTACCTTAAGACTGTTGGAAAGACTTTCCATATCCTTTTTATTTTCTAATTGCACTTCTGGTGAAGGCATGGGTAAGAACATTTAATGTGTCTGATGATGTTTTGGGATGGTTTAGAGGAATGCATCAGATTTGTCCCAAAACCCTGTTAGATACAGTGCAGAGTTACAGGAGGTTTGATTTTGATTTACAGTGGGATATTAAGGTAGGGTTTAATTACTGCATTTGATTTTTTTAAGTCAGCATTTAATGTAAAGATAGTAAAGGGCTGTCTTTAAGTAGATCAAATTATAAAAACTTTTGTTATCTCGGCACAAATGCAAGTTTCTTGTTAGACTCTCAGATGCCATAATGTTTACTCCTTGTGAGTATTCACAGCACTGCTAATAAATAAGCGCAGTGCTTGACACGAAGGGGCAGGTGATTTTCAGAGACTTTTGATTATGGTGACTCCAGTTTTGTCTTACTGAACACAAGCCTGTGGGAAATGGCACCACCTGGCTGACAGAGCTGTGCTGGCAAAATCTCTGGCTTGTACACAGCGTTGTTGTGTAGAATGGGTAAGCAGGAATATCACTTGGTTACTTTCAATCCAGAGCATGACCTGCACTAATCTTTAAATTTTGAAAGTATGTGAGGGAGGACAACCCTGGAATGGATTTCAGGCATTCTCTTAAAAGTCATAGCAGCTGATTATTGTCTTGAATGCTGCTTGCTAGATCTGTAAACTGGGACGTTAATACTGTTTCTTTAGCACACTTAACATGTTCAGCAGTGTGGATGATGTGTTTTCCTTCCCACAGGTGTTACCTGTGCAGTGTCTCAAGCCCAGAAAGATGAGCTGATCCTTGAAGGCAATGACATTGAGTTGGTCTCCAATTCAGGTTTGTGAAAGTAGATGTGTAAGAAGGTTATATGGACACTTCTGTCTGAAGATGTCAGCTTAGCAAACTCTTTCTCCTCAAACCCTGAGGTAAAAAACAGCACAGCGTTTTATTTTTTTGCCTTAGTCAGCATAACTGCTTTTCATAATTCCTTACGCTGCTTCTAAACTTAAAGATGTTACAGGTCTAAGGAACCTTTCTCTCCAAGTCAGTATTTATGTCCTTGTTGGTACCAAAGTTCTGAGCTTTTCTGTTGTCCAGGAGTGCAGTAATGAACTGTCACAGCCCCAAGTTGCCAAGACCAGCTCAGTGAAATGCATTCTGTTTTCATTAGACCTGACAGGATTTCAAGTTGGTAATTCCTCTCTCTAGATGACAGTTCCGTTTGTCGGTTGAAATACTGGAGTGTAAACAAAGGCTACGAGTTGGCTTGGACCTCTTGCTTTGTGCTAAAGGTCTTGCTTTGTCTGCAGCTGCCTTGATCCAGCAAGCCACCACAGTCAAGAACAAGGATATCAGGAAATTCTTGGATGGTATCTACGTCTCCGAAAAAGGAACAGTACAGCAGGCAGATGAGTAAAACTCATAGGTTGGTATCTTTTTGATGCATGTTGTACATCTTCTGTTTAGAGATGGGGACTTCACAACGTTTATCTGCTTCAACACGGCCATGCTTAAGCAGATTCCCAACAGGGATGAGGTTATATTTGTGTAAGGCAGTATAAGGCGTGTCATAAAACTTTAATTTTACTAGGTCTTTTGACAGCCGTTTTTTGTCTCTCCTCAACTTGGCATTATGCTTCTGTGTGGAGGAACACCTAACTCTGCAGTGCTGTACTCTGCACTGTGAGCCCTGGCTGCAGTGGGGGCTGAGAATTTAAAACCAGCTGACCTAGCCTGACAGACCAGCTTACAGCCCTCACTAGAGCAGTGGTCAGCACACAGTTTGTATATAAAGGCTCTTCTGTGCTGTTTGTGTGTAAATGCTGGTAAACAGGTCCCTTTAACAAGTTCAGCTGTTTACATTGTATGTGGGCATGTTACTGAAGTTGAGTACGAGGATTTTGGGATAATTTAGGAATTTTAAGTGTTGAAGGAATTCAAGTGTTAAAGGAATTTAGGAATTTTAAGTTTCTGCTACATATGGTTCCATCCATAGTGTAAAACACTTGTGCAGGATGGGACAGGCTGACTTGCAGATAAGTTCCATGTTGTGTATCTTCTGTAAGCTAAGCTTGAGGCAGGATGCCGGTGAACTGAGGTTCAGAAACAAATTAGTTTTTTATCACCAGCCACGTACCAGACACTTGGAAGCCACTGAAAAAAATAATTTTTAGTGCTGTTCCAAGTTACTTGAGAGATTGAACAACTTATTACCTGCTTGTTAAACAGTCATGAGCTGTTGTGTTTGAAGGCATCTTTAAGTAATCTCACCTAAACAAAATAAAGCAAATTCTTTGAGCTATTAATGTCTGGTTTGCATTAAAACTATCAGATAAATTAGCAGCAAATGGCTATAAACTTTTAGTTTCACATTTGCTCTGCTAAATATTTCTAATAACTCTTAATGTTTTATTTACAGTTGTCTGGGTCCTGATACAAACCAGCATGAAACATTAGATCAACCATCTCCGCTAAAAGTATCTCCGCTAAAAGTATCTGGTACAAAACCAGAACACCATGAGAAGTTTAATAAAATAAAACATATTTAATATTTTGGTCTTTTTTTTTTCTTTTTTTTTAAGAACTAACTGGTGATTGCATGAACTTGTTCAAGGTCTTTTGGAGAAGCAGATTGTCACAGAAGTGACACACAGTGTGTATACCATGTTATCATGGTACGCACTGCCCTGCCAGCCTCTGAGAACATTCAGTCTGAATGAAGTCTGGGGGTTTAAAAACACAGTGGTGGTAATGTGGAGCCAGTGTGCAAAGTCATGAAGTGGTATTTTTGAATCATAGCATTAAGAAATATCAAAAGCACTTTTCTCACAGAGAGACCGGTGTTCTTTCACATTATTTCAAAGCCTCTTAATTCAGACTTGTGGTGACAGAATCTGAAGTAGATTAAAAACAAAACTGAAATCAGTAGAACTAGATTTTTAAGACCATTTAAACTAAATACATAGAAGAAGCAGTAGCCTGAAAATACAATGCTTTATTTGTATTGCTCAGTTAAGAAAACAAAGGACTTGACCTCAAAGTTCCATCAGAGCATTTTGATGTGTTTCACCACCAGTAATTTGTGTCATCTGGGTATACAGCTTTTTTTCTTGGTTGCTAATCTTGCCACGTAGCAACATCTAATTGAGAGGTTGTACTGTACTATGGTAAAATCTACATTGTGGATTCAAACTGTGCTATGGTAAAATCCACATTGTCACTTGTTCTTTTTTTTTTAAATATTCACAAACCCTCCTGGAATAGTGCAGAAACATACTTTGCAACAAGTTGCTAAAGGTTAATAGTCAGGAAAGCATCCATGCGTGTTAAGAAATTCCAAAAATTGCCCAAGGATCCACTTGAATGATGACAAGTGCAATTTACAATTATATTTGTCAAGTCTCTTGAGTGGATTAATAGTTATTTGCATGTTCTCTCCTAAAAACTTATGGCTGGCCAGTTCTGGAGACGAAAAATAGTGATTTTATATGATTTTGGCTTGTCTCCAGTTACATTTGCTTAAAACTACGTCACCCATTTTGTCAGGGGATCTATACCGGTCAATATTGGAGTTGAATTTGTTGTTTTAGGAGCCGGCCCAGGACTTTTCATTCTTGGTGGTGTACTTAGCTGAAGGTTTGTGGGTCTTAATAACACTTTTATTTGTAAACTCTAAACAGCTGCAGTTTCATGCTCAACAACGCTCATGAACATGCATCACAAGACACCTTGGTTCATAGAAAAGTGCGCATCAGTTTGCAAAGCTTAAGTTGCTCTTTACAAGTCAAGATGTTTGAAAGGTTATTTCAAGGCACAGTACAATTTTTCTTTTTTTTTTTTTTAAATAGATGAACTTATCCTCCATGTACAGTAGGTGGATAAAAGTAATTTCACCAGAAACAAATGTCATAGCTCTTCGTCCCGTGCATGTGATTCCTTCCTGGTGCTGAACAGAACGCTTGGTGTGTGTGACTGGAGTGACTCAGTGTTTTTCCACAGTTGTCTGAGCTGCATTGTCCACTGTAGAACGTGAGTGATGGATCTCACTGGAAGTGAGCTCGTGCCCCCTTTTAAAATGAAACGCAGAGGCACTGGATGCTTTTTGCCTTGTAACGTTTTCTTCTTTTTCTCTTGTGAAAAAAAATAATGGTTAAAAGCAAGATAAGGGTAGAGAAAAGGCAGCAGGCGAAGAATATTAACGGCTTCTTCTGAGAAATAAACGAGCAGAAGCTGCACTGCTTTTCTTGGTTTGAGGGGCCGCAGGCTGAGGAGTCGGCAGGGAAGCCGTTGTTGCTTATCAGAGTATTGTAAAACTTTACTGAAGGCTTTCCTTTTGAATCTGAAGTGAAGAATCCAAATCTGGGCTTAGATTTTTCTTCAGTCAGCTTAAATGCGTAGTAGCCTTTAATCTTGACTTTGTCAATGTAGTATGCTGAGAAGGAGGAGAAACGAAAACCAGACGTTAATAAAACCTTATAGGTTAAGTAAAATCTGCAAACTTTATGGTAATGAGTTCAGATTTGAAATTGTTACAAATTCAAAAAATGCAATTGCATCATATAATATTTACTTACTGCTTTAATTGTCTGTCTCAATTGTACATCGTTTTAAAAAATGCTTAAAATCTGGCAATTTTCTGGACCTACCTTGTGAAAACTGGATGTGGACAGGGTTGGAGCTGGGAGTTTTATTTCCTGGGAAAAGCCAGATGCTGCTCTTTACTAAACCCAGCTGCAGTGACTTCCCTGCTCCAAACTCAAAATTCCTTCCCTGCTCCAAACTCAGCTGCTCAGCCCCACAGCATGCATGGCTGTATATTATACTGCTGCACCCAAGTGCTGGGTGAAAATACTTAAATCATGAATAGCAGGCCTTGGTGGATAAAAGATCCCTTCAATTCATGTGCAAGCAGTGAGCATAGTTGGGGATGTGACCCTGATTAAGCAAGAACATTCAAACTGGGGGGATCTTTTTGTGAGTACTGCAAAGTGTCATGCTGTCTGAAAAGTAAAATGGGAATACTATGAAGAAGTGCCCTTTAAACAATGCTTTAATAACTTACTTCTTTTAATAATGTATTGTTCTTTTGTTTGCAGTATGAAATTAGCATGGAAAATAAACCAGCAAATGCTCATTAGTCCTTTAGAAACTGAGAAAGAGCTAAGCACTGGGGAGAGAGTGCTTTGTTTCTTGGTGTCTAGAAGTAATCTGAAGCCATGTTTGGCCATGAGTAAGATTTGTCTCATTTTTTTATGTAGCTAACTCTTACAGAGGAGAAACCAGGATACCTAGGCTGTGTTTGCTGACAGGTGCCTCAGAAAAGCTTTTAAACACCCCACATCCTGATCAGGGTTCTCACTAATGTTTGCCAGTAGGGAATATAAGGGCAGGGATGTATTGTCCATCTTATTTTGACTGTATGGTTCAGGTACTGAGGCCTTTCTGAGTGAGCCTGTGGCTCACTCCTTTTCTTTAACAATTGGTTGGAGGAAGAGGGATGTGAAGAGCTGAGGTCCCTGCAGGATTTCTCATACAATAAGCTGTTGCTGAAGATCGTTGTCTTAAATGTTTTTGTCCTCTACTTCCATAAGTGTTACTAGCTTTTCTCTAAAGTGAAGAACTGTATTTCTGTAGGTGCTCAGGAGAAAGCAAGTAGTGGAACAGGAACTAGAGTTGGACTCTGTATGTCCTTCCAGGTCTCTGTGGACTTGCTTGCAATTTCCTGTTCAGTGACTCTAGTTCAGCGTGCAAGTAAGGAGGCTCCTGCCTTTCTTTGGAGAGTAGAAATTTGTCCCTTGGAAGTTGTTGGTCCGAAGTGCCATCTCCTAATACCTTCTGAATAACTACTCTGCTGTATGTGCATGCCCAGATGGCTTCTCACATGCTTTAAACTGGAAGGAGCTGTAGCTGTGTTTCATGTGAGGGGCTTGATGGCGTTGCTTTGGGTTGTGTCTGCCCTGAGCATGACTGCAGAATCGGGTCCCTCAGGGAGCTCATTGCTGATGGCCAGTTCCTGTGTGTGAACCAGAACTGCTTGCTCCGTCTAGGGCAAGTCTGAACAGCTTGCCTGGGTCTGAGCCACAGAAATGGCTCCGGGGAACTTGAATACTCACCTTTTAAAACCTCTTGTATGTATTTTCCCAAGTAATAATTCCGAAGTTCATCGTTGTCTAAGGACTGGTCATCTATTCCATTTGCTGTGATGTAAATATCGATGTCGCCGTAGGTTTTTTTAATCCACCTGAGAACTCTGCGCATTCCCCAAGGCACCACTGCCAGGCGAGAAGGGGAGCTCAGGCAGGTGATATCCTGCAGAAATTGAAGGTCACGATCAAATTCATACTGGCTCCCATTCTGAGGCTCGTGAATCACAAATCTCGTGGTGAAATGATTCAGGGCATAAAAGTCAGCTGCACCTTTGACGAGCTGCTTTTCCTCACTTGTGAAAGATGGCAACAAAGTGTAGGAGAGGCCTTTTCTGTTTTTGAAGCCAATGTATTCCCTCATAGTTGCTGGATAGTCCCCAGTCTTAAATATGGGATTGGCAAACCAGCCTATTTCAAACTGAAGAAACCTGTTGGCAGCTTTTGAATGAGATTCAAAGTAGGGGTTGGCAGGCTCAGCCCAGTCCGAATGCAGGGACAGGGACACTTTGCCATCCTGGAAGGACCGGTACTGCTCATCATACACTCTCCAGGCCATGGCGTGTGCTATTAATAAATTGTGTGCTGCCCTGTAGGTATCATTGCTGCTCCTGTTGTACACATTGCTTAGCTGGTTAGGCTCGTTTATTGTAATCCACAGTTTAACCAAATCACCAAGTTCCCTAAAACATAAAGCTGCGTAGTCTTGAAAAGCATAGGCAGTAGATTGGTTCAACCATCCTCCTGCCTGCAGCAAAGGGCCCGGCAGGCCCAGGTAGGCGTGAGTGGGATAATACAAGGTGACCATGGATTGAACATTGAGTTTCAGTGCTTCACTAACCACACACCTGTAATATCTAAGAACTTGCCTGTTGACCACTGACAAATCGCCATTGGGTAAAATTAGTGACCAGTCAAGTGCAAATCTGTAATGAGTGACTTTCATTTTTTCTAGGAGGTCAAGTTGCTTTTTAATACTGACAAAATCTGTGCACTGTGCTGGTCGGGTTTTTAGCTTTATCCCTTCAACTTTGTGCAGAAGCCCGTCTCCTGTGACATTCCAGAGGTACAGGCTGGAATCGCAGAACTGTGGTGAGGAAGCCACCAATTCTGCCTGTGAAAATAAAAACAATATGTTACAGTGGGTTTTAATTAAATGAATGCCACCTTGTAGTCTGCACCTCTGCCTATGTTCAGCTGTAGGATTAATGCTGGGTGTCAGAAAGCTTAGATACTCCAGGGGGAGAGGATAACCAACTCACCTATATGGGCTTTGTGCTAGTGGTCATCTTACTTGTTCTGTTCCTTTATCTACAGAAAACATTAAAGTTGCACTCTCCTTTCTGTTTGGTTACACACTGGCGTTTGCCCTGGCACCAGCCTACATGACGTACGTTTCACACAGACACATCTCCCTGACTGAGTTCACTCTGTGGTCATGCAAACAGCAGTTCTCAGGCAGCTGCCAGGAGAGCAAGTGGTAAGAACAAGCACCAGGGGCTATACGAGGCAGGCACAGAATGTTTTGGCCCTGCTGCTGAGATCAACCCTGTCAAACTGAGGCATAGTAATCTGACACAAACAGCTTTAGCATTTAGCTATATCTTTTCTATCTCCTACTAGTTAACAAGGTTCTGAGTAGCACATGGAGATTTTTTGCATATTCCAATTTTTTATATGCTTTTTGTAGGTTTCAAAATACAATATTGTGGAGTTTAAAATATTTAGTGGGGTTTTTTTTTAAGAAAATGGACTTTTCCATGCTATATATTAACAAAATACATAGCGGCTTTACTTTTTTTTTCCTATGGTTGTCGGTGAATAGGTTAAATTATGGAGGTTTGTTATTTTTTGAGGCTGATATTGTTCCTGGGACTCTCTGTCTATCTCCAATTACAAAAAACTGGCCATCCATACAGTTAGCTTATTTACCAAGTTTAAAGCAGAAATAGAAGAAAAATAAAGTATATAAAAAACACGCAGTTTGGATAAAAGGTGGTACGATCTGTTTTCAAACGTGAGCTCTAGGTTGGTTATCTTCACCTGTGTTCTATGTCTTTTTAAAGGGCTTCTTACCCACTTGTCTAAGTGGCACTTAGAGCCAGGGTCAGCCCAGGAATCTGTTTACCTGAAGCGTAGGGGTAGCTCAGCTGCCACCAGTGTAACCACCCTGTCCCTGCCCCGTGCAGCCCTTTCTGTCACGCTGTCATAGGCATCTCCATGGCCATACTACAGACTGGGTTTGGAAACCCCTGGTTGAAAAATAACCCAGGAACAATTGGTTGAAATCAACTTGGTCTGAAATTCTCTGATCTCATCTGCCTCACAGAGACACAAGCAGAGGGAAAGCAAGGGTGAGCCAGGCCTGGAAGGGCTCCACGTTTTCACGTGAGATGCTCACTGTGCTGGTACTGCTGCCACAGCAGCACCACCACTGTGAGCATCTCACGTGAAAACTTGCACACAAAATTGAAGCTGTGCAGTTATGCCTTAACTTGTGTTGGCAGTGTGCACTGAGATTCCTGAGCGCAAGGTGCCATACAGAGTCATGTGCTCACCAAGTACAGTTGCTGATCACTCTGCTTCCAGCAGTCTTCTCAATATTTTATGCTTACCTTGAGAACAGACTCGGTGATACCCCAGGAGAAGTCACAGGAGAATTGAGCTTGCAAGCTTGGGGTAGACTCCTTGGGAAGAAGCCATTTTCTTGTATGATTTGTTTATAATAAAGTGCAGATGACTTGGGAATCCTTTCCTTTTTTTCACTTTTGAAGTCTACATAAAATAATCCACGCCTGATGTTGTAAGCATGTTGCCATTCAAAGCCGTCAAGGAGGGACCAGGCTGTGTAACCAAACACATCTACGTCGTCATATTTAATAGCTACATAAAAGAAAGTAACATACATGAGTCTTATATTTAGTACTCTAACATATATAAGGGATATTTATGAGAAAGGGCTATTTACTTTGAAAATCTTGAGTGTCTTTTCAACACTCATGGGGCTGTTGGCCCATTTTAATTAATTGCAAAACTGTTACATTATAGTCTTATTCATTACAGAAAATGTGTCACTAGCTCCTTAAGAAATTAAATTACTGCAGGATGCTTTATTTCTGCTCAGAGCAAACACAAAATTCTACATCACTGCCAGCCAGGCTTTAAGTTGCATTTGACAATTTGTCAGTAAGAGATACCAATAAAATTAGAGAATCACGAGTAAAAATTAAGGATGCAACAGTTGATTAAGATTGTGCATTTGTCATGAAGCTGAAACTCTCTACCTTTATTTGAAAGATCTCTGTAAGCTCTAACATTCAGGAATGCCTATTCAGCTTGTAAACTGAAAAATTTAACGTGTTGGTATGGGACAGTTAATGACTTAAGAAGTTGGGTTAATCAGCTTTCTCTCAGAGACTGATTTAATCACAGAATGGGTGCAGTGCATGCATGTTTCTTCAGGCAATCTTAATGTCCCTCTACCTTGCAAAGGGGTCAACATATGATCTCTTACATATAATATATGAGAAAGGTGACTACTGATTTCTCAGATATGGAACCCCATTCTTCAGGAAGGGCAGGAGAACCTGCAAAGCAGCTTCTTGCCGGACCCCAACTAACCACAGTGGTTTTTACCCTCTTACAGCACGTGTCAGCAGGCAGCCTGGAAGAAAAAGTCCAAACTCCATGGTCAGTCATGTTAGCTGCCTGTCACCAGCTTTAAGCTAGGAAATACCACAGGATAACTCCTCACATTAACCTTATAAGGGCTGGAATATCAAGGGCAAAGCAGTGACCAAGTGGGGTTACTGAGGATTTTGACAGTCAGATGGACGAGCTGTATTGTGGTGGACAAACTTGTAGTCCACCACACCAGCAGAGAAACAAGGTACCCAGCAGCACAGGTGCAGTCCAGAAGGATATTTTCCTACTTGCCAGATGAAGAAATCAGAAAGCCCAAGAGCCTGCAATGTGAGTATCTGGGAAGCTGATAGGTAAGGCCAGAATACTGGAAAGGAGATGAGGGAATGCAATGAAGCAATACAGTGGCATGTATTTTCAAGAAAAGCGATTTCTAAATATTAGGGAAACCATGTGAGAAAGCATGAAAGTGTCTGAAAATATCCATTGCAAAATGCAGAGGTGGAGAATGCATGTAGAGGATAGAGGTGGGTCAGAAGGACCTGGCCAGTAAAGATGAGTATTTCATGTCTGCAGTGAGGAAGGTTGAACAAATGGGAGCAGACATCCTGGGACAGCATAACTGACAACTGAGAATATTTTTGTTTCTAGAAGAATACTGAATGGATGGCAGGTAAGTTTAATTGTCAGAGCGAAAGATGCTGTAGTACTTGAGATGATGCGTGCCTAGATGAGAATTTGTAGTTGTTAAAATGGGTAGGGAAAAAAAGCACTATTCTATGTATATTTTGTGGTGAGGAGAATTAAAAGTTAGGCAGGTGATAGGTAGAGATCCTGTGAATCAGTGTGAGAGTGTGTTTGTAGCATTGTCTGCAGCAACAGTGAAATTGGATGGCAGAAACAGGAGGCAGGATCCTCCCTGAATGTTAATTCAGAGTGGGGATGAGAAAATCTTGAAAAACAAGGGGTGACTGAGGGCAGGAATAAGGAGCTGCAGGTAGAAAAGGTCAGGAGTTAACTAAGCTTCCTGTGTCACCAGAGATTACTTTCACAGAAGGAGATCTCAGGGCATTTCTGTGTCCACTGTAGGTGGAGTCTTGGAATCCTTCTGCAGGAGTAATAGTTTCAGTATGGACAGGCATACACGTGCCTGTGGTTTCAGTTGCATCCTTATATCATAACTGAGGTCAGGTCACTGTAGAGGTGATGTTATACATCACCTATTTTCATGACTCATGGTGCCATGAGTTACAAACAGTGCAAAGTTTACAGTACTCTCCCCAAACAAACACACACATGTGAGTCCAGCTCCTTGTAGCCTGTTACATGCTGTCTTAAAGGCCACCATCCCATTACAGTTTGGCCTGTATAAATCACATTTTGGGGTTAACATGAACTAATTGGTTTTGCTGCAAACTACAAATTTTTACCCGACTACTCTGTAAAAATATGAAAATATGTTCCAAACATTATTCCTGATTGGACAAATTACTTTTCTTCCCCAAAAATGCATTAATTAAGAGATAACCCTGCATTTTGAGGCAGAAGTTGAAGTATCTGCGAACATCAAAATGTTGATGACAATTCTTGACAAGTAGTTATTGGTTGAACATTGACCAAGTATTTCAGAAGTGTGAATCCATGGATAGTAATCACAGCCAGGCCTGCTGTAGAATCCAGGCCTGCATCTAGACTTTCCTACTGTGTCACTGCATTATTTAAAATACCATAAATCAAATACTGAAATGCAACTTCCTCCAAAAAAAAAAGGCAGGATATGTCGCACTGTGGCACTATGTAAAGTTTACAGTTTGAACCAACTTTAAATATATATGGATTATCTTCTTCTGGAGCTTAATTACAGTTGTTGGCGAAGCAGTACTTTCTGGCTTGGTCTCTGAGTAAATGGTAACTCATGTTTTCCCTCTTCTGAGGATAAAGAAGGTTTTTGTAAAGGGATCTGAGCCGTCCCAGCACTGCAGTGTGACGTAGCAGTGAGGCAGCCTGCTGAGCCGACGGCTCTCAGAACCAGCAGCTGCCCCACTCCCAGCACCACTCCTACAAACTGGCTGAGCAAAAAAATACTGGTTTTGCAGAGGCTTAAGGTACTAATAGTGTTTATATTTCATGCAAAATTACATCTTTTACCTTCAGAGAGCACCCTATACACTGGCTTTATGAAGGGCAAATTCAAGATTAAATCTGTGTTTTTAAGACATATCATCTTTGACTGGTGTGCAATATTCCTCAAGAATGATTGTCCTTCTCCTGCTTATTTCCTTCATGCATTTGGCATTGGAGTAGGACCCCAGCATGTCAATGGCAGCCTTTAGTCAGTCTTATTTTCTTGCTGTCAAGGTATGTACCTGCACAAAGGTGTTACAGTTGAGCTACCAGCAGTGAAAAGTGATATCCAACAGATTTGTTTTCATTAATTTCTCACTCAGCTTTTTACTTACTTAGTTTTAAAATCCAGTGCAAATGTTGGACTTTAACTTTCTGGGACAGGGGCTATGGGTTTTTTTCTGTGTTTGTACTACACCTACCACCAGTAGATCCTGTTCCATGACTCATACTCATGCAGTATAAATAATTAATGATTAACTTTGTTGCCATTGCTACTTTTAAAAACAGATTAAATCACTACAGGTCTAAATATCAAATCATCTTAAAGTGCTCACTGAAAAGCCAACAACTAACTTGTGTACAAACCTTGTAAAACCTTATTTATGAAGTTTTTCATCATGTAGATGGCTGTGGTGTCGTCTGTTTTCACGTGGCTGTCAGTGAACCAGCCATTCTCTGCAATCAAGATTCGAGGACTGTTGTATTCCAGTTTAATCCAGTTCAGTACTTCCCTCAAATTGAGTGACAAATTTTGGCCCATTTTTTGTAGAGTGTTTGGAGGTTTAAAGTTATTAGGACCAAAGGAAAATGCAAAGAAGTCAGCTGTTCCCTTTATGTAGTTTTTTTCATCCTCCGTAAAGCGTGGCAAAAACGAGAATTCATTTTTCAGTTCTTCTGGATAATCCCCATCTCCATGGATGGGTTTGGCAAACCATCCGAGCACTCTCTCCATAGACTTCTGACACTTAGAAATGTCCAGCTCGTCTTCCGATTTGTTAGGTTCGATCCAGTGGGATCCCAACACTATGGACATCATCCCCCTCTGATAGGGTTGGAAGTGTTCTTTGTAGTTATGCCAAACTTTTGCATGAGCCTGATGAGAGAAAAATAGCTTTAAATTGTAACCCTAGCAAGTCTCTGTATGCACTGGCAGCTAGAGAGGCAAGGAGCTCCATCTGACTCACTGCAGGCTTACACAGAAATATCAACCAACAGTTAAGGCCCACAGGTTCCCCTGCACACTTGTAATGGGCAGTCACTGTTACCCTGAAAGGTGCCTTGGGCTGAGGGCAATGCTCAGTAACTCGTGTGCTGTCCCTGTGACAGATCAGGGCTGTGGCTTTTTGCCTTTTAACAGAGGTCTGAATTTCGGGAGAGGTCCCAGCAGGGATGTGAATAGCTGTTACATGGACACTTTGAGACTAAACAGCTGTAATGGTGGGATTTGAACTCTGTGATTTAGACAGTCCCATTAGGTCTTTCTTTGTCAAGCAGTGATTGCTGATACGGTTAAAATTTTAAACCATCTTTACAATTGTTCCATAAATTATGCATCTCATGATACTTCATTTGTCAGTGCTGACTGTGCTATTAATGCTCTGTGCTCTGGGGGTTACCTGGACTTACTCTAATTAAATCACATCCATTTTATCCTTCTTCTCGGGATTTAGTTATTTTAGTTTGGTCTAATCATATGAGTAAGTGTTCAAGTTTTGATATTTGCACAATCCCTAAATGTAAAAACTTGGACAAAGGACCCAGATGTGAAGTTTGAACCCAAATGTCAACTTTCACAGTTCTGAGTGAGAATTTTGTTCAGGAATTTAGTTGATTTCTTCTTTGAAATGGTTATTATTTTTCTGACAGTACATGCAGCAGCATAGAATGAAGCTTATTCACACCAAGTAGGGAGCAATAACACTTGAGTTTTAAAGGGAAATTTGGCAGCATATAATCTGGTGGGTATGGCATGTTTTAGTACTCATAATTGGCCGAATATTGACTGCCCTAGGACAGACTGGAGTTTTGTTATTCATGTGAGTGACAATGAAAACATATCTTGTATCACATCTGAATACCATTTTTTCCTGATTATCAGCATGTTTTAGAAAGCTTAACATCATTACACATCAGAATTAGCTTCAAATGTCATGTTATTATTAAATTAAATAAGGGAATACAACAGACAAAATTTACACAAACACAGAAATACATGGGAGACTGAGGAACCACTAGCATTGTCAAAGTCCTGTAGGAAAATGAGACAGCTCAGGAGTCAGAGAAGGGTGACTCTGGATTGCAGTGTGAATCACATCAGAGGATTTGACAGGGGAGGGGAACTAACCTCTCCCATCTGAGGAGTTGTCAAGTAACTCAGGGTTTACCTTATGCCTGAAGTGTGGCTTTATGCTCTTAAGCTGGAAAGAAAATAACTGCACCCAGGAAAAACATTGAGAAGCATTGTGAAACACTGAGAGCATTGAGTTAGACCACCATCATCACCAAGCCAAACAGCACTGCTTACCTTCGACAATAACTGCAGTTAATTTATCTAGAAACACACAGCCTTGACAGTTAAAAAAACTCAAAAGGCCTGATGCCAGGTAGATATTTGTTTAAGCTAGGGAGTACCAAACCATTACAGTTTGTGAAATTTTGTGTATCAGTTGTTTATGGTTTCTAAGGTCATGCTTGTAACATTTGTTTAAGGTCTGTCCTTGAAAATACTGATAAAGTAACACTAACCTTTGAAATGCAGGTTCTGTAGCTGAAAAGGGAAGCCAACAAAAATGGACTCATGAGGCCCATTGCAAGATACAGTTAAAGTGTTATAAAATGGTTTTCTTACCAGTCTCATCAGAAAATTTAAGTGGCCAGTGTCATCTCAGTTACCTCCACTGTGCTCTCCTGAAAGTCCCTCCAACCTGGGGTGGCTGCTAGGGCCAAGCTTGCTTTGTTCTCTGCCCCTTGTGATTTCTCACCTGGTTAGTACATTTTTTTTTCCAGACACAGGCCACTAACACCACTGTATAAAGAGTGGAGTTACCACATCATGCAACCAACGTATATGGTTGCATTGGCCTAACAAGGAAAGCCCCGCTGAAGTGAGCTGTATTATGCACAGTGCCAAGCACCATGACAATAGCACCAGGTAAACCATAGCAATCACACTTTTCTAGGTGAACTGGTGGAGATCACTTTGCCAAAACCCAACTAATTAGAATGGAATATCGACATGTAAAAGGCAATCAGAGACAACTCATTGTATTTGTACACATCTTCAGGAGTTGATTAGAAGAAAGTAAAGTTACTATTACAAATGTTGTCTACAGTCAAGAATACAGCCACAGGTATAATTCTAGAGGAGTAGAACTCAAGTACAAATAAGTACATTTAGTATGAGTCAAGACAGGATCCTCATACGCAAAGTCATACGTATCACTGTCGACTCAGTTCTGAGGATTAACTCTTGCTGAAAGAAACTTGTCAGTGTCTCTAGTAAGGGTTTTTACAGACATAGTAGAGACAATAGCATTTGCTTGCCTGTAATTCTCTTTTGAGTTGTTAATTATCTGTAAAGCAGATTAACATTTTCAGATAGAAAATCTTCACTAAGTGCAAACTCTTGTTGATGGAACCAGCTGATTGATATAATTTGTTTTGTGAGACCAGATAAGAAACAAACATTAATTTAAAAGTTGTATCATACATCAAATTGTGTATTTTGAGTAAATCTTGACTAATTTTTTTTCAGTTAGAGTTTAATCCCTAATCTTTCACTTTCCTTGGTAGATCAAGGACAAATGTCAAGGCTAAGTACACAGTTAAAGCAGGATCAATATTGTGTAAATAATCTAGATACATATGACTCATTAATTTCAGCATATTTTCCTGGTATTAATATAGAAATTATTCAATAGACTTGAAAGTCACAGAGAGTACTAAGTCAGTTAGTATTAACCCTGTAAAAAGGCTGGAAAAGTCAACCTAATAAAATGAAGACAACAGTATTGTTCTTCTCTCTTCTCAAAATATTCTCATGCTCTTTCAACCCCTGATCCTCTAATTTATCACGTGCATATGCAAAGAGCTTTCAAAAGAAAGACCAATACTTTCTAATTCTTAAGGTATTTTAGCCAAGGAATTTTCCTTTGAAAGCAATGAGCACACAAAACAATGTCAGGTATATGAAATTATTTTAGTGTGCCGGAGAGCGAGAACATTTAGGAAAACTAGAATTTAAAAATGCTAATAAAATCATTTGGGGGTTTTGTTTAGTTGTTTGGTTTTTAAACCATGAAGAGCTGGAATATAGAGTCTGATGATGATGATGTTCACCATCCCTTCAGAAGAAGGGCAGGTGTGAGTGGCTTATCTGAAGACTGTTTCAGTTTCAGGCCCTTTTGGTCTATGGTAAGGATGTACTCAGTAGAGTTAAAGCCCTTATTTTGCAAATTGACAGAATCTCAATCTTTGTGAAGAACAAAAGGGCTCTTGAGATGTAGGCAACTACATTTCTAGGAGGGTGGTTTGAAGGACTGAGTCTTTACTCTTAAATTTGTTGTATGCTGTCTTGCGTTTGGATTGTGTTTTTCCTAATGATTGCCAAGAAGTGTAAGAAAGCTAACCTGAAAATAACAAATCATAACAAAAAAAGTGTGCATCAGTGCTGAATTTTATATCATAACTGATGGCTACTACTGTTTGGAAAATCTTCCAGCAAAGACATTTACAAGCATAGATGGTTCTGGTGTCCATCCTAGAGCCATACTTGGTAGAGACAGGTTTCCCTTCTCCTGTAAGAAATTAGGTCCTGGTGTATCTTCATCTTTCTATATCCTGAGGAAAGCACTCAGTTTTGGAGGAAGGGAAGAAAGTGTCTGGTTGGACATAGAAGTAATAGTTATTCCCCATTCATTCAGTAGAAATTTGTTTTTAGGGAGAATAAATTATGGGACTTTTCTGGGACACACTCATCCACAGATCCCAGAGGCAGCAGTGTCCGTGAAGAGATCCTGGCATAGTGAGAGCCACTGCAGAGCTGGGAGTAATGCAGCTGGGCACAGAGAAGAATGTGATATGCAATAGATCTACATGGAGACACAATGCTTGAAAGGGAATTTATTGCCTTTTCCCAGTATGTGATGTCCTTGAAGAAAATTTTTAGGGAGACTTCATCCTGACATTTCTCTCCTGGGCTTTTCTGACAGATGGAGAACAGTGTGAATAACCTCTAACAGGAAGAAAAAAAAAATAAAGCCCCTTTCTTCTTATTATTTAGCAAAGGCAGAACTACCTGGAGGGCACTGATACAGAGAAGGGAAAGAAGACAGTTTAATCTGCAGCTTGTGATTTTTACAATCCTCAGTCTAAATATAAAAGAACATAACTAGATACCAAGAAAATGGTAATAATATATCAGGTATATATTTCACGTAGCTCCAGCCACAATGATTAATCTACTTTGTATTTTCTTGCTTATCAGATTTTTTTACTATTAAAGAAATCCAGCTAATTTTTCTGTGTGCCATTTTTTTCTCTGCCTCAGTATGACAGCTGCCTCAGGAGCAAGCTTATAATTTTGTATTTTCTTTGATGTGTCTTTCAAATGTCTCATAGCAAGTTACATGTTATCATTAATTGTTTTCTGGTGTTGCCTTTGTACAGTCTCCTTTAATGAAGAAAGGAGATACACTTTTGATGGCCACTCTCCATCTAGTATAAGATTCCACATGCCCCTTGTATTAGTTGTAATGATCGTGCACTTGAAGAGATTTATCTAAGTGAACTCCTTAGCAATTTATAATTAATAAACATCAAATTTCAAATACCCCATTCATTTCCACGGAGATAGTATCAGGTCCTTTAAAAATGATCAGTAGCAATTATTACCATCTGTGCATAGCACACATGGTAACATGAAATTTTGAGTTCTTTTGTGGATTATTTTCCCCACAATGGATCTCCTAAGCACCCTGCTTAGCAGCCTTTGCTTCTCTGCTCACTACCTGTCTTTATGGACCTTGAATAGCCAGACCCATGCAGAAGGCAGGACTGTTTCTTAAGCAGATGTATCTGGGGCATTTCCTTCAAAGCATGCAAGGTGCAGAGGAAAGCACAGGTAGTAGGCAATGCTGCACCAGCAATGCCTTGTGCTAGCCAACACCACGGGACTCTGGGGCTGGACGGAGACAGATCAATCCTGCTTTTGTTGAAAAGCCTTCATAAGGTCATTATCTACCTAATTACCTACCTCAAGTAATTCACTGAAGCAGATAATTTTTTAATCAGTTCTAAAATGCATGGAGATGATCCTTGAGGTCCCCTTCCAACTTGGTATTCTATGACCTTTTCCTTATGCCAGCCAACTGTTCAAGTTTCAAGACATTGTATTTCTTCAGCCTACTAAAATTTATAGTTTAAGAGAAATATCTTCAGCTCTTTTCTGAAGATGTGAAGATCTCCAGCAACTTTCAAACTGTTCTTACAATAAAATAAAGTCCTAAAAAGCTGAGGTTTTATGGTTTGTTATATTGTTTTTGTGATTCTATGAAACTTAGCTTCAGTTATGACTGATATATCACATAAAGGCATTTCTTTGTATAAATGGTGATTAGTTCTCACAACACTTCAACTGCAACAGTGATAAGGAAATGAAAGTAAAAGTAGGATTCATGCAAGAGCCTCATTTAGTTTATCCAAAGGAAGTACAAAAAGGCTTGAGAATGATTTTCAACAATTTACTATGTAAGAGAGGGGTGGCCAGATTAGCTTCTTTTCAGCATTACAGACCTGATTTTCCTGCTCAGCACAGTTAACGGGTGGACCTGGTAATGTGCACAGGGTGCCACTGAGAACACTGTCTGTGAACAGCCTGTCCCAAACTGAAGCCTTGACACGGACAAGAACGTGGCTCTTCCTAAAGCTGCTGACATCAATGGGAATCTTTTGCAACAGCTTTACCAGGACTTGCCTCACACTGCCAAAACCCGACATTTCAGTTGGTCTTTTATTTTTGGAATGATGCTTTTGGTTTTCAGTGGTAAATTAGAAGGTAGCCAGAATACAGTGTTTGAGAAGCAGACCAGTAGATACCAATCCTGGAATAAAATGCCGTGTGAAATCTCTTTAAAGAGAGAATCTTATAACCTTCCCTGCCTCTCAAAGGAGAGATACTTCACAATGCATGAATCCTGATTGTGCATCAATACATTATATTAATATGGTATTGTCAACAATATGAAATGAACTGAACATTTCAACATGCACAAAACTCCTTGAGAAAGATTCTGGCTAATTGCTTTGAAGCATATGATACTAGCTGTGACTCCTGTGGAGTGGTTGGCTTTAATTACAGTTTAGTAAGAGAAAAAAAAATATAGATATGAAGAATTGACTTGGTACCTCAAGAGTTTCCATTCGCTTTCCAACCCCAATCATAAAACTCCAGTTCCTCAAATACATTACTACAAATTTGAGATTCTTAGTGAATCTTAAATCTAAAATCTTCAGAAATTTTACAGTGCTATGGGAGAGAACTGCTAACACATTAGGTAATGTTCATGGGGCTGTAATAAGGACACCATGGGAAAATAATTTCTGGACAATAATAATAAAATACTAGTTAGTGGATTGAGTATTGCTGAAAGTCTTATTAGCTCTTCCATTGAAATGATTTATTTTATGCTCAGGTTCACAGACTTTAGAACTAGAAGCAACTATCAAATCAAGTCTGAGTCAAATAATATTGACCAAGGGACTGAGGTCAGTAGTTTGTATATCAGACCCAGCTGTGCTTGGCTTCCTGGAAAACCCAATTGATTCTTCAGCAGAGGTATTGCTCCCTACATGCCGTGTGCTGCTTATATGGATTTTAAAGGAAGTGCAGAGACTGCATATTTGGTACTCCAGATTTGATTGTGACACTTGGAAATGAGGGCAAGAAATGTTAGAAACTTACATGGTATCTTTTACATGTATTATATGAAATACATTTTATATAACATCTGAAAATAAAAAAAGAATTATTCAGCATCAGTCCTCTTTGAGATGCTTCACAAATCTTTATAGTTAAATCATTCTTGTACAAAGTCTGAAATCAGTTAGTGGCTCAAGATGCTCGATGACTTTTCTCTGTGTAAAACTTCTATTGACTACAGTGTTGTGTGGTCAAACTTCTATTGACCAAGCACTTTAAAATGAATAATTACTAAGCCAGCTTTTTTGAAAAGAACAGTAAGATCAAAATGAGGATTAACAGAGAGACTACCTTAGGTAAAGGCTATTTCTTGGTGCTTTCACAGTCCCTGATCTTTTTTTTTTCAAACACTGATCACAGGACTGATTCCTCCCATCATTTCCCACGGCAGTGCAAGATCAATTTGTAAAATCTTATTATACTGTACCTTGATCAAATTGTGTCCTACAGAGTAGACAGTTGATATTTTTCCTCTCTCTCCCGGGGCATGAATACCTGTGCCATACCCATGCCAAGCAATTAAATATGGATTGTGAATTGTAATCCAATACTTAACACGATCCCCAAAGGTCTGGAAGCAAAAGGTGGCATAGTCATTGAAGATATCAATTATCGATTCATTTTTCCATCCCCCATATTTTTCTTGCAGCATCAAGGGCAGGTCCCAGTGGTACAGGGTAACCACAGGATCAATATTTCTGTAGAGCAGAGAGTCAATAAGGGTGTTATAATACTGGAGTCCTTTTTCATTGGGAGCTGCTACCAATCCAGTGGGAAAAAGCCTTGACCATGAAATTGAAAACTGGTAAAAAGTAACTCCCAAAAAATCCAGAGCAGACAAATCTTTGTCCAACAAAATGTAACTGTCACTGGAGGTGCCTGTGCTGTCAGCATCCCTGAACTCTGAGTGGGTGAAGCGGTCCCAGATGGAGGAGCCTTTCCCGTCCTTCCTCCAGCTGCCTTCCACCTGGAAAGCCGCTGTCCCTACACCCCAGAGAAACTCTTTGGGGAAAGTGTCATACAAAAACATCTGTGTTTCACTCACGGGGCTGAAGTGGGGGTCCTTTTTCCACACAGATCTTCCCTCTTCAGCAAGCCCAGTAACTGTCCTTATGAAAACTAGTGTCCAAAAAGCAACAATTCTCTCCAGTCGCTGGCCACACATTATGCCGGTTTATAGTGCCAATGTTAAAAGTCAGATTTCTTGTACCGACACTGAAAAAAATCCATTCTTTTGCTGGAGTCCACACCACGCAGACCGTCTTCATTTGCCACAAACTGCTGGAGTGTCTTATCAAAGCTTCACTAAAAGCTTGTGATTGTAAAAGCCCTGTCAATGATTAGCCTGAACTGTGAGACGTAGAACGGGTCAGAGAACGGTGTAATTTATAGGGAGGTGGCCTGTGTATGACCACTGAGACACCTAGCTGGCTTCTTACTGCTGGAAAATAGGTTGCCTGAAAATGAGAAATGCTAGTAACTAATTTATCATTGTTTAAAGCTTAGTCATCCAGATTGGGAGAATATGGGTGACAGAGGGTGCTAAGAAGATATCACACCCTTTATTCCTTATGCAGCTGTATTTTGAGGAAAGATTAATATAATTCAGACTACAGAGTCTCCAATTAAAAAATTATTTTTCCCATCTGTGTAATTGGATGGCTGGGAGGGGACTGCATCATTCCTCAGTCCTGCCCTGCTCAAACTTCTGCTGAAAAACTCTCCCTGGACTTGTGGGAAATTTTGCTGTGGACAAGAAATGTATGCATGTTCCATTAACTATATAAAAACTGAAAGCAAGTCAATATTTCTTTCAAACACATGCAACTGTTTTTCTATCCTATATATAGGTTTGCTTTGTATAGCTGTACATACAGTGGCAGAACAAAATTGACAGGGGTCTGCTCCAGTTCTTACACAATTTCCCTGGATTTCTTTAAATAAACACAATTAGGAAAGACAATTAGCCAAGAAATATGCTATTTTAGGATTGACTTATTTAACAATCTTTGTATACACAGGTGGGGCATCAGTACAGTGAATATTTTACGGAACAGTTATGCAATACAATTTAACCTTTTAACATTTTAAATTGCAGCCACTCTATATATGTTGAGATATAGTCAATTTACTTAATATAGTAAGGCCGAGTCCCACCATTTTTGATTTTCTTGAGGCACAGTTTTATAAAGTGTATCCACACACAGACCACAGTTGCTGAAGAGCATTGCAGAACAACATAGCAGTGTGAAGTAACTCTGCATGCAAGAAATACTAAAATGTGAACATGGGCACAATTTATCACCTGAGTACAGCACTCTGCTTGGACGAATTAGCCCTACTGGCGTGTAGGACGTGAAAGTCCAGATGCACTCCTGGGCTGCTGCCACTTTACTGCTCCTGCTACCTATGAGCGAATGCTTGCAGCACTGCACAGTGCCACTGAGACTTACCTTTAGTTTATCCATAAAGCTGATTAATCAATAAAAATGAAAGACTATTTATGTTTTAAGATAAACAACAAAACCTCCATGTGTCTAAGCACTTCTCTGCAGTGCCTTTACAAGGAATATTTTCACTACAGATGAAGAAGAAAGCTCCCACCGACATCTTCTGCACTTCAGGTCCCTGCTGGTGGGGTAGCCATGCATCTAACATGAGTCTCTGCCACATAACAAACCCAGCACTCCCTCAGCTACCTGAAGTAGCTCATCCACACTTCTCAGCCAAGATCCTACCACACGCAGGCAGCTTGGAAATGAAAGAAGTGAAAGAAAACCCAAACACAAGTTGTTATGGATGCCTATACACTTCTAAAGCAGCTAGTTACTATGATTACCAGATGTTCGAGTTCCAAACAACCACGACAGTTTTGTAACACCTTGGCAATCTATTGACAAGGTAAAGACAACGGGCTTTCTCCTCACTGACTACGGCAGATTTAGTACCATTGGCATCTTACTGCAGACAATGTGTTGCACCTGCCCAAGATGTGAAAGATCCAGCAGAGACTTGTGCTCCCAGGTGCTTTGTCTGTCTGTACAAGGTTATGAACTGTATTTCTTTCCTTATTATTGACATGACTGGGAGCATGCTATAATCAAGGTTTGAAAATGTGTCAGTGTTTCAAGCCTTTGTGAATCCAGTTTCTTACTGCTTTGTCACATTTAACTGTTTGAGCTATAATATAACTTCATGAAGTTAGAGAGCAAGCAAATTGACTGATGAGAGTCATACAGTGACTCAACTTTGGAAGGAGGTTTTGATTAGCTGAGCAAGGACCTGGGAAAAGGAAACACTGTTGGTAATTTGGAAAGCAATCAGCGCAGAAGAGAGAGATGCGATAAGGGGCTGTTGGGAAGTGAGGGTGCAAAAGGAGGGGAAGAGAATTATTATTCCACTAGCTCAAGTGGCAGAGCCAGGATAGGCTCCAACCCTGATGCTGTACATGGACATCAGTATGATGCACAGTGGGATTTCCCGCCTCTGGCTGTGCACTTAATGAACATGGTTTCAGAATGAATCAAGGCTGGGAGAGGCTGAGACCGCCAGGGCACCTGCTGATACAGATTCAGTAGTTGGGAAGACTAATGATATTCAGCTCAATTCTTAGCTATCAATTTTCCTTTTCTTCTTTGCTTCTGTCAAGGCACATGATTCAAACGATGAGAACAACTTTTCACTTGACTGTTGAGCGTGTTCTCCTCGTTTTGGGGTTTGGCTTGAAAACCTGGGGTTTGATCTGCAGAAATGCCAAACACATTAGTTTAAAGGAGTAGAGTTTTGAATGTTAGGCTGAGTATCCAAGTTAATACACATTCATTCTGCCTAGATATGCAAATGAAGAGAAGGACCTAAAGGCAAAGTTCACTTAGAAAAAGTGTAATTGTTTACATTCACATCAGCTGCTCAGACTGAGGTGCTCAAAAAAGCACAACTTATATAATTGCCCCACAACAGCATCATGCAAATCACTTATCTTTACCTTATACAGCAAAAGCTGTTTGAGATGGGATCAAGTCTTTTCTAAAGATGCCCAATTGTAATGGATACTATAGAAAGCCTAATGTAAATAGAAACTAGACCACAGATTTACAAAGAATTTTTGGAATTTTCATCTGCATCAAAATGCTAATTCCTTTTTCTACACTGTCAGAAAAATTTGATTTTCTTTACTAGAGATTCTAGTAAGCAAAATATTCCCTATGGAATTCCTCCAAAATAGAGACTACAATCTAGTAAATGAATATTTTAATGTCTGTTAATTCCACAAAAAAAGCCCCAGGATTTAACCTGAAATTTCAGGAAAAAATATTTTTGTTGTGTCTCCCTAATCATCTGAGCATTACCATACTGTATTTCTTTAGGGCAATTCCTAATCCCAGAGGTCCTTTGGACACCTATGAAGCTCAGAACATCTCTGTTCCATTGTAAAGATTTCTCAAATTATTCAAGGGAGTTATTCCCCAAAACACGTGAGAAAGTCTGCCTTATGGACTTCAAAAGTATCTCAGTGTTAAGTTACAAGTCTCTGTCTTATATTTCAAGTAAGTTTCAAACAATTCAAAATACGAATTTTGTAGAGCAGTAAATAAAATATCCCTTCAAAAGTTGCAATAAAAGTTGATTTCAATTCTGAAATAGTATAAACATAGCAATATTCAGAAATTTGAAAAGAAAATATACAAGAAAATATTAACAAAAAGAAAACAGGCTATTTTTTATTTCTCAATGTAAGAAAATGTAATCTCTCGATAAGCAAGACAAAGCCTTTACTAATAATAACAATAGGACTGAGTTTGTTTGACAGGGGAAAACACTCAAGCTCAAGAGTTAATATCTCACTTTTTTCATGTGTTTTGGAAAAAAAACCACCCAGTATAAAAAGCCAAATAGTCTGTGATTTTCAGAAAGGTAGAAAATAAGTCTAATTTTTTTTTTAATTATTTGTCACAATTGTAAATAGAGTGATGATATCGAGCTGCTTTTAAAAAACTGTGCTTTCAGTTGGATAATATGTCTTTAAAACATGACCCAGGATCAAGTAACAGACTCAAAAAGGATATTGCCTTGATTTTATCTTGCAAAGCACATAAGAATACAATGGACATTCAGTTTTGTTTCCTGTGGCAGAGCGAGGTTTTTCCCACTTCCAGTGGTTTTGTAGTGAGGCACACAGAAACAGAGGTCTCCTGTCTCCCCAACATACCCAGAAGTGAACTGTAGACATTCCAGGTATTCAGTCTGATCTCTTCATGAAGGGTTAAACTCTTGCCTTCCAAGAAACATGAACATGTCACAAGCCCACAGGCAGATACTGCTCTGCTGGATGTTACTCTAGGTAGCTTTATCAACTACAAACAGAGATAACCACCTGCAATAACTCTTTTGGCATTATTTGAACAGTTTGCCTGGCTCTTACAAATGTCAGCCACTTTAACCACTCTTTAGTTCTGGTATCAGGAATATGCACAGCTTTAAAAATTACATAATGAGAATTAAATACGTAAATACAAACTTATCACTGGAGATGTTTTTCTAAAGCAATACCAGTTATGTTTGCATAGCCATTATGTTGAGTGCTTATGGAATAACTTGTAAAGCAGGCTGAAAAGCACAGCCTGTGCGATGGGTCTGCATTCAGTTGCTCATTTTGTCATATTTCTTATGCAGAAATCCAAACTCACAAGCTATGCTAATGCTGAAAATATATGAGTTCACCTAACCATGTGTGTTCATAGTAGAACGGTAGCAATTTGTGTACAAATAGGATCCTACAATTACTTAGAATCCAATTTAAATAATTAAATGGGAATAGTAATAAGTATAATTAACTTTTATCTCAATGTAGTTATTTTTGTTGGAATTAGACCATCCTGCCAAGTAGACAGTCTCTTGTTCTTGGAAGAATGAAAAAGAAAAGGAAGAATAAAGATGGGAACAGAGAGTCTGCACAAGTCATAGCATTGGAAATTGCAGTATGAGATAAGTACAAATTGAGCTTGTACTCTTCTTTGGTTTGTTGTTTGGGTTTTTTGGGGTTTTTTTGAGTGGTCTCCTAAATCACTGGCAGTATTTGTAGCACCACAAATTCTGTTTGCCTTCCCCATTCTTCTTCAAGTCTAACAATAATTAGCAATTTATTAGGTTTGCAGAATCTAAACATCAGACAAGTAATTCTTGATAGTGGTACCATTTTTATTTTTGGTTTGACCAAGTTTATTCCCTGCAAGTGTTCAGTAAGTAGAGAAAACAAAATAGAAGGAAACACACAAGATTTCATTAAACATTAATTAGAAAAGTAGACAAGATCTCATTAATTAAAAAAT